CTCTGTGGTCTAGTGGTTGTAATCGCGACTGCTGATCCTGAGGTCCCGGGTTCGAATCCCAGGTCGAGCCAAAAAATCTGTTATTGGGTTTTTCATCAAGAAATCCTCAGTAGCTGCCCGGAGTCAGGAAGTAGGCGGTGTCTCACCCCCGTGCCGCGGAAAGCACGTAAAGCCGTTGGTCCTGCGCCTCTCTCTTCGGTCGTGTCGGTTTACCGTCCCATCGGACTATTAGAGTGAGGGAATAGAGAGTGCACCTGTGCTTGCGCATACACTTTGGCACTATAATCCTGTCTTGCGCCGATGGCCAGTCTTCGCTGAGACTGGCCGCCGTGACTAAAATTCGGTATGGAGGACATTATTGTTATTGCTTTAAAATTTATAACAATAACTATATATTTTGAATACAACTAGATTTTTTGATGAATTTTATTATATTTAACTTATTTTAATTCATAAAGCACGACATGGATTTATTGTAACATATTTAAATTAAACAGACAGAAAACTAAAACAAGAGATGTGCAGCAGCATGTTCTTGATACCCATCAATGTTCAAACTATGCAGTTATCCCCCCTATGAGGTAGTCTAATGGGGGGACCTGTGCTAGGACTTATGGATTTTGATGGGCCGTAATTGATAGATGAATGAACTTTAAAAGTTTTATGCTTTATCTCTATATACAGGGTTATTTTTCAAAGAGTAGCCAAATTTTACATTGAAGTTCAAATAAATAAATTATTATATACGAATATTATATTTTTTGAAAATACGAATAAATAAGGCTTCTAATTTTATTTCAAACTGTCCCAAATTGAATGTCATTTAAGGCAACAACTACTCTTACGCGCGCACCTGTTGTGTGATTCAATTCACATTTTCGTTTCTCAAGTTTTTGCCTACTATTTAGTTTCTTATTGACACGCTTACTACTTATGCTTAAGATAATAACTACATGACGCGAATTATTATTCTAATATTCCTTTTACACTTTTGACGGGCTTAGGATCGTCATAGGAAATAAAATAAAAAAAATATTTTTGCTTATCAACGACGTCACCGACGACTGTCCTTATTATAGCGTATTTAAAAAATTGGAATAAACTATTTACAATTAAATTATACAAGTAGTTCCAATATCTAATATTGGTACCTCAAAATGGAATCTGGCGGCGTTGGACGATAGTTTCGACTGGCGAGACAAGAAAACCGAACTGGTTACTTCCGCGTCCGAAGATTGCCGAACGGTCACGGGTCAACGGGCCACATTCTTTATGTATAGACGAGCAAGTTTTGTTTAAATATTTTTACACTTATTACCTGTTCATGAGGACTTTTAACTTCCGTGAACGAAGCAATAATTTTACGGTTTAAGAAGAACTTTATTATCTCAAAGAATTTTACATTCACTTTTTGAGACTTATATATCTATAGCTTAATATAAATTTGGTTTGGGCTATTCGTACAATGTAACAATGCAAATTATAATTTAAACTATAATTTAAACTACCGAAAAATACAAAATGTAGGTGGCTGTAAAAAGTTTCTAGCGACAGCGATGGCTCACTTTGTGCAAATTCGACCGCCGACTTCTTTGTGCCGATTACATACCAGGCGGTCCCATAATGAACTGGCCTGATATAGTTCAACGCGACATGTCGCTACATATTGTGTTGCATTAAATAGTACGTTTATCGTGCACTTAATATAAGAAACATGCATCGACATGAAATGCTTAGTCTTAGTTTAACAGGCATTTGAATAACGAGAGTCGCGTATTTTTTCAAAATGTCGAAAACTGAGTATCGAAGTGTCATAAAGTTTCTGTTTAAAGAAGGTTTATCCCCTGCCCAAATAAAAGAACGATTGGATGGTGTGTATAAGGAGTCTGCCCCCTCCTATAGCACAGTGAAAAATTGGGTGAAAGAGTTTCGCCTCGGGAGAGAAACCGTCGAAGACTTTGGCCACGACGGTCGACCTGTGGAAGTGCTCACTCCTGAAACGATTGCTCTTATCGAAGAGGAGGTTCTGAGTGACCGCCGTTTGAAGATTAGAGAAATTGCAGCAAGGCTTGGGCTCTCTAAGAGTACCGTTCATCGCGCGATCCATGAACATCTTCACATGAAAAAAGTGAGTGCAAGATGGGTACCGAAACTTCTTTCAGCGGTACAGAGACAGGAAAGAGTGCGCTGCGCTTCGGAGTTTTTGGATCTTTGTGGCGAAAATCCAAAGACTGTGATCGAGCGGCTAGTGACTGGTGATGAATCTGATCTTGTATTATGATCCACAAAGCAAGCGCGAGTCAATGGAATGGCGTTATAAGGGTGAAAAGCCCCCTAGAAAGGCAAAGGTGCAACAATCGACTAAAAAACTGATGTGCACAATATTTTGGGATTTTCAAGGCATTTTGATGGTGGATTTTAAAGAACGTAATACAGTCGTGAACGGCGAATATTATGCTTCTTTAATATATAAATTACGAGACAAGATAAAGGAAAAACGAAGAGGCAAGCTGTCTAAAGGTGTCCTGTTGCTCCATGACAACGCCCCTGTTCATACCGCTGGTGTTTCGAAGGATGCAGTTCGTCAATGCGGGTTCACAGAAGTTCAACATCCACCTTACAGTCCAGACATGGCCCCGTCCGACTATTATTTATTTCCAAATTTAAAGCGGGACTTAAGAGGAAGAAAATCTTCAAGCGATGAAGAGTCGCAGGCCGCCGTCTTCAGTCATTTTGAGGATAAAAAATGTGATTATTTTTATAAAGGTTTAGAGATGTTGATTCACAGATGTCAGAAGTGTGTTAGTATTCATGGTGATTATATTGAAAAATAAAATTGGTTTCGTTTCATTTCCTTCATTGGTTCATAGTTAGGCCAATTCATTATGGGACCGCCTACGTACATAAGCATTACTGGATGTGACTCGCACAGTAGAGTGATACAGTTGATTAGATTCAATAGTTTAGAGAGAAAAAAGTCTGATTAAGTGTCGGTTATAATAATTTATATATTTAGTAAAATTTGTAATATTTATATTATTTATTATTTCTGAATAACTTAAATAATTAGTATTTTTAGAGTGTAAGAAGGAAATAATCTAGATATTTATTTATTTATGTTAGTTATTCAACATGAGAGTATTTATTTATTTAGATAGGTCTTTGTTTAGTCTTTCGATAGATGATACTTAAGTAGTCTTTTAAATGTGTGCATTGATTTTGAGTCTCTAATATCTTTAGGTAATTTGTTATATATTTGTGAACCTTCATACATTATGCATTTTTTTCCGAAATTTGTTCGTGGTGTTATTAATTCAATAACGTTGCTTCGCCTAAGTTTCATTTTGTGTAGTTGTATTCTCTTTGAAAAAGTTGTGTTTGTGTGTATATCTTTATTTAAAATTTTTCGTACTAATATACAATTTTGGTACTTGTATGTTTGCGATATGTTCATTACTTTAATTTGTCTGTAAAGCTTATCTGTCGGTGTAAAATAATCAAAATGAAACAAAACTTTTAATAATTTATTTTGAGCAGTTTGTAGTATTGCTAGATTAGTTTTGGCTGCATTACCCCATATTTCTACTAGATAATCGATTTGTGGTTTCACAATGGAATTATAAATTGTATACCGTACAGGGACTGGAAGACAGCGAGCAATACCCTTTATCATACCCGTTAGAGATATCAACTTAGATTTTATTTTTAGAATGTGGGGGTGCCAAGTTAACTTACTATCTAGAATAAGACCTAGATACTTTTCTTGCTCCGTCTTATTAATTTTTTTTTGCCGTCAATCATCAAAGGACTATAGTCACCAATCTTTTTGTTTTTAGCTGCAAAAATCATATAGCTAGTTTTAGTTATGTTGATCGTTAGCAGATTGCTCTGTAACCATTCATTTAGTGAATCCAAATCATTTTGTGCTTCCGATACAATAGATTCAATTGAGTGACCATAATAGAAAAGACACGTGTCATCAGCGTACAAGGTTACATCCCCACTTAAGCCTATCTTATTGATATTGTTTATATATATTAGAAACAGTAGGGGTCCTAAGATAGAACCCTGAGGTACCCCAAACGTTACAGTTTTGCAAGAACTTCGTGTTTTACCTATTTTTACTACTTGTCGGCGATTACTTAAATATGATTTGAAAATTGCTAGTGCAGTGTTAGTTAAACCAATGTTAGCAAGTTTATGTATTAACAACTCATGACTCACTGTGTCAAAAGCTTTTTTAAGATCTATAAATACACCAAGCGCGATTTTTTTTCTATCTAGATTCAGCTTTATTTTCGTTACAAGGTCTACTGTGGCGGATAGTGTATTTGATTTAGATCTAAAACCATATTGTTTCTTTTAATTTATTGACGTTAAGAACATTTCAAGTCGATTGTAAATAATTCTTTCGAAGACTTTTGAGAGTACCGGTAGAACTGAGATAGGACGGTAATTTCCAGGATCTAATTTTGACCCAGATTTGTAGATTGGGGTGATTTTGGCAATCTTTAGATTTTCAGGGAACTCTCCTATCTTTAGACATTCATTAATGCAGCCTGTTAATTCTTCTATTATTAAACTTTTGACGCATTTAATTGCTTTAGAACTAATACCTTCTAAGCCTGAGCTAGTGTTAGTGTTTAGGTTTTCAATTATTGCAGAAATTTCATCTACCGTTGCTGGTGCTAGATGGCTAAGTTTTTGCGAGTCAAATCCAGAATCACTCTCATTTTTATTACTGTAGCTTATGTAAGGTTTTTTTATTTGATTTGCTAAATTCGAGCCAACACTGGCGAAAAACTCATTAAAACATTCACAGATTTCATCTGTTTTAGTTAGAATAAGTCCATTTTGATTCTTCAACTTACTTGGGAATGTTGCTTCTTTCAATTTATTATTTGATAGATTGTTAATCAAACTCCACATTTTTACTGGTTTATTTTTGCAATTTATAAATGCTTTAAAATAGTAGTTTGCTTTATTTTTCTTTATATTTTCTGTGACTTCATTTCTTTTCTCTATAAATTTATTTTTTATAACAAGATTTTTGGGGTTCTGTTTATATTGTTTCCACAGAATATTTCTGTTATTTATTTCATTGATTATTTCCTTATTTATCCAATCTTGTCGTGGGGGGTTTAAAATCTTTTGTTTATTAATGATACTCTTTCTTATACTGTCTAACAGCCTTTCTTCTAATTTATCATATGATTTAGATTCATTTGTTTCTTTGTCATTCTGCATAGTTGCATAAAGTTTCGCGTAGTTTACAGCTTCATATTGTAATTTACTTAGAGGAACCGGCACATACTTTTTAATCTCAATATATATTTGTTTGTGATCTGAAATGGGTGACTCTAAAATAGCAAAGTGAAAATATTTATCATTAAGGTTAGTACATAGATGGTCAATAATAGATTTAGTTGTTTCAGTTTCCCTAGTACAAAAATTTCGGTCTATCTTATTTATAATTCTGTAACCATTTTCTTCCAAAATTTCTTTGTAAGCTAGGGTTCCACGATCTTTGGACAGTAGATTAAAATTAAAATCACCAATAATAATTGCTCTTTTATGTTTATTTATTTGTGCAGAATATTCATCCAAAAATTGTTTTATATTCGCGTCTGGTTTTCTGTATACGGTTCCAACATCTAGACAATATTTTTCGAGATGAATCCAAAGGAAATGGTTACCATCCAAATTGGTGTCGCTGACGTGGCAGTGCTTCAAATCCTTGTGAACAAAAATTGATACACCACCACCTCTTCCTGTGTTTCTGAAATTATAATAGTGGCTGTAGTTAGGGATGACAAAACGTTTTGCTTCTGCTTCGGATTTTATCCAAGTTTCAGTTAAAATAATGATGTTGACAGTATTTTTAAACATTTTTAGTAGGCATTGTAACTCATCAAACTTTCCTGGTGTGACAATGCTGCGTATGTTAGCATAGTATATTTTTAATGATTTCTTATATGAGACAATGTGCTCGTAGTCGTCAACTAGTTGGTAAGTGTTTACTTTGTTATCTTCTGTATTATTACTACAATTTCTTATTGTTTTGAGTTTTTTGAGACGCTTTTAACTATTCTTGGCACATTTTTCGAATATTTAATTGAAATATTTTCTTCTCCCTTTTTTATTCTATCATTTAACTCTTGAGTAAGCTCCTTTAGGTATAATTTTTGTTGCGGTGTTTGGTCTGAATATAGCCTTATTGTATCATCATTCAGCTTTGTCTTATTCTTCAATAAGAATTTAACGACATCTTGAGATTCAAAGAAAATTTTGATTGGGCGATGTTTACCAGATGTATACTTACCAAGTCGTAGGATTTTTTTCGGTAAAGGACAAGTTGCATCTATTGTTTTTAATATTTTAATAACTTCACCTTTGTCAAACTCTGTTCTATGTTCTTTATCCAATGCTGCATTTTCAGAGATTCCAATGATAACGATATTTTTGCTTCTTTGTTCGCGCTCACTTATTTCTGCCATAATTTTTTCGGTTCCGTAAGATAGGGAAGATGTTCCTGTAGTAATTTTAAAGCTTTTAATTTCGGATTCAAGATGGCAGATCTTCTGTTCACTGTTTTTGTTTTTCTCTAATAAATTTGAAATATCAGTTTTTATTATTTCGTTTTCTGTATTAACATGGTTTATAGTTAATTTCATATCATTGATTTCTTTTTTCAAATCTGCTACATCTGAAGATATTTTTTCCATGAATTCTTTTTGATTAGTGCAAATTGTAGTAAGCATCGACATTATCTGCGACATTTTGTTAGTCAATTCACATACTTCCTTTTTTATTACTGTTATGTCGTCGTTATCTTCTGGTAATTTTCTTTTATTACGAAAAGTGATTATATTAGACTCATTAAGTTGTGAATCGCTAAGTGTATCTCTCATGTCACTTCTTGTAGGCGAGCGTAGAATATTCATCTTATATCTGTGTATCAACACGGTAAGGTATGAAATGACTCACGTAGTAGTGGCTGTCTTTTTCAAACACGCTCCGTCGCAGTTATTGTCACAGTGATTAAACTGATTAGAGCACTATTGCTACAGGTAATACGTTTGTATGTAGCCTGGTAGTTAAGATTAATATTTTATAGAAAAGCAAAACACGTCTGCACTGTACGATGCCCGGAGTTACTACTATTATAATTTTACTGTTGCGGTTTTAATAACTTTGGACACCTCTTTGACGTAAACACGGTTAAAGTTCACGCGAGTTTGTAGATTCACTATTTATCGCTCACTGCACTTGAATGGTTTGATTCGATTGGTACGACACGTACGCTAATATCTCACCGCGGTAAAAACTCACTTTAGTATCTTTGTATGTACCACGAAAACTTTCATTGATTAAAATGTAATTCTTCACATGTATAATCACCAGTTTACAGTTTCATAGTATCCGCGGTTCGAATATTTTCGTTACGACATTGGCAACGAAACGTACGTAATGAGGTCACGGTCCACACTGTCAGCTGTCGGCCGGTCGAGCATACATAGGACTTTCGGTGTAACGGTAGAACGGGCGCAGGAAGATGCGCAACAAAGTACTTTTCTGACCGTAAGGGTTTACGAATGTGTGCGTGCGAAGTAAAATCAGTTAAAATAATGAATTACCATTTGAATTTAAAAGATAAAAATTACAGAAAGTTTGAGATTTTTTTATTAATTTTTATTCACCATTTGCCTACATTACTTATTCTGAACCTTCTCTGCAAATTTGGCTGGTAATTGCAAAATACAGTTCAAACAGTAATTTGTATAAACATCAATTGCTGTCCGTTAGTCTCGCAAAAACTCGAAAACGGCAGGACTAATTTTGATGAAATTTTTAGTGTAGGTTTGACTGGGTCCCTAACTGGTTTAAACAAATTTCAATTGGACCCAGTAGGTGGTACTGTTGTCCAGATACATAAATCACCCGTGCGAAGCCCGGGCAACCATACCAGCAACTCTTATGTAGTATTACATAAAAATAGTTTTATTCAATGTGTAGTGTTCGCGTAAATATAAGAAATCATTATGAAAAGTAATCAAATACAAACAGTAGTTTAGCCACTGAAGATTTATGTACTTACATAATTTTTTACAAGGCAAAGGTTGATGGGGTTTAATACACTGTCTTCAAAATAATAAACTTTCAATAAAAAGTAAAAGCCGCCTTTTAAGGACTTTGGGTAAAGAAGATATAAAGCCCTATACTTCACATGTGCAAGTATTTTATTCTTCTTCATTCTTTGAAGTCAGCTGTTGCTGTTGTGTATTGTTGTCGATATCATGTATATGTCGCAGCCATCTAGCTTAATTAGCTTTTCAGTTAACAGCCAAGATATTACATGGCAAGGTCACCCCATTAATTTCATACAATGAGACATTTGCTGGTCTGTGCCTAATTATGTGCTATGTACTATTATATAAATGTACGCGGCGTTAGGGTGGCCCAAGGACCACCTCAGCCACAACTTGACCTACTGTCGCTGATATTACAAGACATAAGTAATGTTGTATTATACTCATTTGCTGAATATCTTTCAGGCCGCTCGATGAACGGCGCCGTTTAGTGAAGAGACTAGACTTTTAACTGAAAGGCTAAGTAAGCTATATGGCTGCGACATATATATATATATTGAAACTGTACATACCATATCCTCCAAGCCTTTTATGTGAAGTTCTTTACCTGCTTCAACCAGTTCTCTTAAATTATCAACTGTAACCAAAACTTCACCTGTGTAAATGTACTCTAGCATAGCAGCAAGTGTTGTGTATGATATTTTCTGAAAAAATAAAATTGTGAGATTACATTAAAAACCTCTTTTATAACCACACCTTATTTTCTTATTACATAGCATGCCACAGGTTTGAAACCCAACTGGAGACATAATTTGCACAATGACACACATAGTTTATTTTTCGAGCTGGTGTATTATCTTAATAACTTTGTGTAATATATCTAAATCTATCTCCCAATCTTCTTGGAACATAAGTGTGACATTGAATATTGTATAAGGACAAATGGGTGAGTATTTGAGGATACACTTGTAGCACTAATTACTTTTTTGATAATTTCAGGTGATATTCGGACGATAATTTTGTATGTGAAATATCATAACAAACACAAGACCTAATTTATATATTATTACAAGTTGTTCCCCGCGACTTCGTACGCGTGGAATTTATTACAATGGATTTCATGGGTTTTAATATTTTTTCTTAAATAAAAGTAGCCTCAGGTACTCCTTATAACATCAGCTATCTGCCAATGAACGTACCCGTCAAAATAGGTCCAGCCGTTTTGGAGATAAGCCGGAACAAACAGACAGACAGACATAAAATTTTAAAAATGGTTTTATTTTGTTAATAAAAATCATATGCGTTTAGTAAAAAGCTGTTGTCTTAACATTACAAACAGACACTCCGATTTTATTTATTTGTATAGATTTTCTACCGACTTCAAAAAGGAGGAGGTACTCAAGTATGTTCTTTTTTATGTGTGTTACCCCAATTTTTTTTCTACTTGAACCAATTTCGATGATTTTTTTTTTACTTGAAAGCTGGTGCTTCTCATGTGGGTCCCATATAAATTTGATCAAGATCTGTCCAATAGTTTTTGAGATATTCTTAAGAATATATATTGAATTTGAAATTTTATAATTTCAATTGTCTGTTGTACAAAACTTTTAATTTTTAATTATTATAAATTATTTTAATAAAATTTTATATTGACAATGGAACTTACAGTGCACTTGATGGTAAGTAACTACTGCAGTCCATGAATATCTAAAGTCAAATTTAAGCAAAGAAGGCTAAAGACGCATTGCAACTTATATAGGTTTGTAATCTTAAGTTTTAATAGAGATTATTTGTTTATGCCTAAATTTGGTCATGTTGAACGCCATTCAATTGCGTTCGAGCTGTCGCGTCACCCGATAGTATGTAGGTGAAAAAACGCCGCCAGGTGGGGCGGCGGTGTGCGGCTTTTGTAGCTCGACGCGTGGGCGAAGTTTTTGAGTTGCCCACTAGCCGCGAAGCGGGGAACCCGCGTAGCTCGTTTATTGCGGCCGAAGTACACGCGACCGTTGTCGGGTGCAGATAGTTAGATTAAGTGCGTGTTACTTCGTTACGTGGATATGTGAATTTTGCAATATTTAACTTGTTCGGGGATGCGGAATTATGCACGCGCGCGTCGAGTAGATATACGGCCTAGGATTCGAACCGCGCATAGGATGTTCGAGAGCTTCTCCCGGTTGATCGTCAGGAAATCATTATAATTGTGCCGTCGCGTTAAGTGCCCTTTTTTGTGTGTTGGTTGGCTTGTTAGTTTACGTGTCAACGAGGCGTATTTTCAATCTTTTCGCGAGGTGGTGTTTTGGTGTCGAATGAAGGAACTTAGTTGTGTTTAACGCTGAATCGTATGACTCAGTAAGAGATCGCTTTAATTCCCTATTTATAATTTTGTGATAAGTGAATCCGGGACATTGAATGTCGAATTGGAACTACTGTCCTTACTGTGTCGGGTATCACGTGTTCGATTCTACGATGAATGTGGAATTAGGCGAGTTTAAGTTAGTACAATGAAGCTATATATATATATATATATATATATATATATATATATATATATATATATATATATATTTATATATATATCCTTGACTGTGCCCGGTCGATCAGCACAATATCAGGCTTATTAGCAAGAAGTCCTGTCTGTGATGATGGCCCGCCCGGTCCCAGTAGAACCTGGCGCGGTCATTTTAGAGCACGGCTTCCGGCAAGTACTTATAATATGGCAGTTTCCGATCCACGAGACCGTATTTCAAAGCGAGCTCCTGGTGTAGAATCCTGGCTACTAGGTTGTGTCTGTGCAAATACTCAGAGTTAGAAAGCGTCAAACAACTGGAGATGACATGCCTAAGTGACTCACCGGGATGGCGGACGACAGATGTCGACGGCGCCATCCTTTAGGATGTATTTCCGATAATTGTTGGTTTTAATAACCTGATCCTGTATTGCACAGACAAGCCCTCGGTTTCCCCAAAGAAGTCACCGAAACGTAGCCAATGGAGGGAGGCGACTGTGTCTACGAAAGGCTCATCAAGAGCCTTGTAGAACCTCCTGTGGAGCTCCTCCTCCCTCCATACGGTCTCTCGGTCGTAAATTCTCTCTAGTGCCGGGTCTTGCCATTGCTCGTTGGCTAAGGATAGAGAGGTTAGCCCTTTATCACAAGAAATATTATTATTATTATTATTGCTACCTCTAAGGACTAAGATAAAATGCCCCACAGCCCGCAATTATACTGGCTCTCTATAACCTTCCAGACATGCTCATAGTCAGAAAAGGAGTTCTTCCATCTAATAACAAGCATCAAAAAAGACGGAGGATATTAACTGAACCGTATTATCCTTTTAAATTTATGTAACACAATATTTTCCAGGGTCCCATATTAATTTCAATCAGATTATCACAGTTCAAAGACGTTTGAAGACGTCAAGTTTTAATACGTGGTAGAGCCATGCTGCAGCTATATTATGGTTGTAGCACGAATGGGTCGGCTCGACCGGGGAAGGACCACGCTCTCACAGAATACCAGCGTAAAATAGTAGCTTAACGCTGCTGTGTTTCGTATGGTGAGTGTAGAGAACCGGAGACCCTTTTTACTGGAAACGAGGCATTCCATCTTAGTCCTCATGGGTGACAACGCATCTGCATTTTGATTCTTAATCGAAGATAGATGTAGATGTCTATGGGCCACAGCATCCACTTACCATCAGGTGGACTGTGTGCTCGTTTGTCACCCTTATCCTATCCTATAAAAAAAAAAAAAAGAGCAATAGCAGGAATGTGGGCACCGCGACCTTGCACTCCAGCCAGCCAGGCCAGCGCACTCAACTAAATCTGATGTACAATGCATTGGGTTGAAGCAGTGTGTTTTATAGTACTTATTTAACTAATTCTATGTGCCATTTTTGAAAACTATAATATCTATAATGGTGAATTACTGTTATAGTTATATAGAGTTAGTAAGTAAAGTTGTATTCAAATGATGGCCATGCTTATGCTTACCTCATTTTTTTTTATAAAATTGTTTATCCGAATGCAAGTACACTATATAATTAAATTTAACAATTGAAAACTGAAAACATCTATAAAAAGAAAGTGTTACAAAAACATTTGGCAGTGCAACACTTATAGTTATTAGTATGTACATAATGTTAATAAATGATAATGATTGATTATCATAATATCCAAAATTATTTTATTCCCGATTTCACAACAACCCCTAGCATTTACGCCGTCCGCATAAATACCTACGCAGGCGGCGGCATCGCCTGACATCAAAGGCATTTCACAACTGTTAGCTCTTTAAAATGTGAGATAATGTAGTGTGAGTTATAGTGCATATGATCAAATCTAATGAGAAAATGATGAAAGAGCTAATTTAAATAAGGTGATGGTTTGGTTTGGTTGATTATAACCCCTGGGAATGAGGTGATTGCTTCCAAGCTGTTTCTAAAATAATTTTTGTACCAACCATTAATGTAAAATATGCTTTTAAAAAAAAGTCCCACCGGGTTTCTTGCTGGTTCTTCCCAGGACAGAAGTTTTTTTCGAACCAGTGGTAAAGTAAAAAATAACTTTCAATAAGAATTATACATGTGATCTATATAGAATAAAAAAATATTCTATTCGATGTACACATGTCCAATTCATATTTCTTCAATCATACTTTTATAGTAAAGCCATTACTCTAGTAAAGAGCAGATTGGATTCAATTGGGTGATCTATACAGTTGCCTTGGATTTAATCTAACCTCTTGCAAGTTACATCATATTGTTATGGTATGGTTATGTGTGCCACCAAGTATCTTGTGCATTTTAAAGACAAATCAGTGATATATAATTTTTTACAAATTTAATTAATGATAAAACATAATACAATCCGAGTGAATCACATTTACTGTTAACCATGCAGAGGCGGTGTTAGAATAGCCACTACCCCATCCTCCCATGGGTGTCGTAAGAGGTGACAGAGGACACCATAAAACAGAAGCCAGCTGCATATTCCTGATAACAGCTGAATAAAAATAAAAAATGTGGTTGCCAACCCACCTGCCAACTATGGCAAAATCCAAACTATGAGGGAATTTATGGGGGAGGCCTATGTTCAGCAGTGGACTTCTATATGCTATAATAGACAGGATAACAGATATTTTCTATAGTGTTACCCATCTTACATCTTAAAAAAATAAAAACTTACATTAAGAAATATAACTGGATGTTGACATTGCACTGAAGAGATTAGATCTTTGATATATGGACTAGCTAGTGCTAGTATTACTTGATGCACTTTTACATGGTGACCATCTGCTGCTAGAGTCATGTCCACAAATTCTCCATTCTAAAAGCAGATTTTTATATATTTATATAACAAATTTTTAACAATCTTTGTAGTCTTTTTTTTTTTTGTTGTTTCATGGGCGGCTGTAGTCACTTACCATCAGGTGAGCCGTATGCTTGTTTTTCCCCTCTCCTATAAAAAAAAAAATTCTCTGTGGCTGAATTTATAAGTTTACTTAATATGGTTAATTAATAAGGTATGGGATTATGCAAAGTCCTACACTATAATATAAATTCGTAGACCTGTGAAGTTTGCCAACATGCATTGGGGCATCGCGGCAGACATTTCCTTGCCCTAAAGCCCTCTCAGAAATGAGAGGAGACCTGTACCCAGCAGTGGGATGTATATATAGGCTGTAACTTGTAACTCTCGGGAAAACGTCGCTGAGTACCGGAACAAACTTGTGTCTGAAGTCGAGTCTTTGCTGAACAAAGTCTCGGATTGGGGGCAACTAAATCTAGTCCAATTTAATCCTCAGAAGACACAAGTTTGCGCGTTTACCGCTAAAAAGAACCCCTTTGTCGTATCTCCTCAGTTTCAAGGCACTCCCCTTCTTGTCTCAGCCAGTATCGGTATCCTCGGAGTCGACATATCGAGTGATGTGCAGTTTCGTGGTCACTTGGAAGGGAAGGCCAAATTGGCCTCTAAAAAGCTTGGCGTGCTCAGCAGAGCGGGACAGTATTTCATGCCGGCACACCGCCTGCTATTTTACAAGGCGCAAGTTCGGCCTCACATGGAATACTGTTCCCATCTCTGGGCAGGGGCTCCCCAGTGCCAGCTCCTTCCACTTGACCGCATCCAACGCAGAGCGGCTCGAATTGTCGACGACCGAGCCCTTTCCGATCGGCTCGATTCATTGGCACTGCGAAGAGATGTTGCATCCCTTTGCATTTTCTTTCGCATCTACCATGGGGAGTGCTCTGAGGAATTGTTCGGATTAATCCCAGCCGCCAAATTTCACGAACGCACATCGCGGCAGAACTCCCGATACCATCCACACCATCTGGATGATTGGCGGTCCACCACTGTGCGATTAAGAAGATGTTTTCTTCCTCGCACGACCTCCTTGTGGAATCGATTACCATCAGCGATTTTTCCGGACCGATACGACTTAGGCACCTTCAAGAAAAGAGCGTACTCCTTTTTAAAAGGCCGGCAACGCATCTGTGATTCCCCTGGTGTTGCAGTTGTTCATGGGCGGCGGTAGTCACTTACCATCAGGTGAGCCGCATGCTCGTTTGGCCCCTCACCTATAAAAAAAAAAAAAAAAAACTTTATTAACTTCAAGGGAGACAAACTGTATTGTAGTAATACTGTATGCTAGTATTCTGTGAGAGCATGATTGTACTCCGGTCGAGGTGAACCATTCGTGCTACAACCATAATATAACTGCAACATTGTTCCACTACATATAAACCTAATTTGAATGTTTACCATAAACTAGTGGTTAATCAAATCAGAATTAGGTGTTTATAAAATTTGGTGTATGATACATGGTACAGATCCTTTTTACTGAAAAAGAGGCATTCGATTTTAGTCCACACAGGTTGCATCTTCATTTTGATTCTTTATTGAGGATAGATGTAGATGTCTATGGGTCACAGCAACCACTTACCATCAGGTCGACTGTATGCTCGTTTGTTACCCCATCCCTAAAAACGATTATTGTTTATTACATTTAATATTTAAAATTATAAGGAAATTACACTTACTTGTTGCAAATTACTTAAACCAGTACAGATATTCTTTTCGTGCAGTTTTGATGTAAGGGCGAATTGTGAATTCGCCATTGTTTTGCCTGAATGAATTATTCACTTTTTTACAATATGCGCCAAATACTTGTTCTCTAAAAACAACAGTCGTGTATCAAAATATTGTTCTTTATTTATTTATTATTTTACGACGAAGAGGGACGCCTCCTGAACTTTGACAGACTTCAATTTGACAGCTTGAGTTAGGTGACAGTTTGACAGTGACGGTAACACAGTGCTGCCAGAACTAAATTCTCAATTGCAGTGTTCGGTAAGTAAAATTTCTTATCTTCTATAGGAAAATAAATGAATTAATAAATCGTCATCTCGTATTGACTTCTTCACTTCCTTCGAAACTACTCGCACAAAATCATTATGGGCGACTTTAATATATTTGTCTGCTTAAACAAGACTCTCGTTCATCCTCTTTTCGATCCATCGTAAATTCCACTAATCTCTCTATTTTACCTTTAAACTCTACTCATCATTTTCCTAATGCTACTCCGTCATTGCTTGACCTTATTTTTGTGTCCTCTTCTGAACTCGCTGTTAAGCATGGTCAGTGTCCAACTGATGCCTTCTCTTACCATGATCTTATATTACTCTCTTATAATATCTGGACACCTAAAATTAAGTCTAAATTTCTTCTTCAATGCAGTTTCGGTGGTATGAATGTTGAAAATCTCTGCAAAGAAGTTTTGATTTTGAAATTTTACTGAGTATACTTAGCTCTCTTAACATATATCCGACAGTGATTGATTGCAGCGTCGGCAATGTATTCGCATTGATGACACATTTTCTTCATGGTGTATTATCATTGCTGCTGTCCCGCAAGGTGGCGTATTATCTCCCTTACTTTTTTCAATTTTTATTAATTCAATAGCCACTAAGATTACTTCTTCTTCATACCACCTATACGCAGATGATCTTCAAATATATACTCATGTTTCTCCTAGTGAACTAGCTGTAGCTATTAGTACCATAAATAGTAACCTTGATCAAATATTAAATTGGCCAAAAACATATGACTTGAAGAATAACCCCTAAAGATTCATTGGAAGTTCTAATATCATTGGAAAATGTAACCTATCCCAATCACTTCAAGTTTTTTTTGATGGAATTTATCTCTGTTAGTGAAAAAGTTAAGGACTAAGGAATTTATATTGACAGGAACCTATCATGGGGTCCTCAAATACAGGATGTTAGTCGTAAAATCTTTGCAGTTGCTCGATCATTGAACAGATTAAAGAACTTTCTACCTACTGCTACTAAAATTGCGATTGCTCAATCTCTTCTTGTCCCAATTCTGGACTATACAGATGTCAGCTATCCTGATCTCACCGAGAAGCAACTTGATAAAATTGAGCGTCTTCAAAATTTTTGTATAACATTCATGTTTGCACAAATATGAATGTTTCATGTAACCATGTTTCTTATTTCCGTAATAAGCTAAGTTGCTCCCTATTCCGCTTCGCCGGAGTTCTCATATTCTGTAACTTCTTTACAATGTTCTCTTTAATCCTTCCTATCCTTCTTATCTTAAGGATCGCGTTGAATTCCTTCACTATTCCGTCCGTCTATGGAATGCCTTACCTCTATCAGCGAAACGCGCCCAATCTTTATCTGTTTTTCAGAAGCTAGTACACAATCACTATCTTAGAGTTCGTACCATCTATATATGTATACATTCGTATTTTTATGTATTTATTTGATTTCTACATATTCTATGGATATTTTTATAAATGTTGTTTCTGCATCACCAAACACACAATGTACTACCGCTTTTTGCGATCCTGTCCATCCAAAGATTGTTTGGAAGAAATCGCTTTTAGCAATAAGACCGCCCATTGCGACACTATTTATTTCTTCTTCTTTACTTTATGTATTGATTTGGTATACAATAAATAATTGTCCATCTATCTATCTATCTAATAAAAGATATGCTGGGCAACATCAATGACAAGTGGTAAAATTAAAAATTTTGTACAATCCGACTTAAATAGAAATTATAAAGGAAAACTCAAAAAACTACTGGTCAGACCGTGATCAAATTTATATACATGAGAAACACCAGCTTTCAAATAAAGAAATCGGTTCATCTAGAAAAGAGTTAAGTATGAGTTATGAGGTTACACTTAAAAAACATACAGTGGAATTGAGTACCTCCTCCTTTTAGCATCGGTTAAAATACAAGTTAAAAAAAGACATCGTTCAGTTCATTCATCACAAAATTAAAGCTCACCTGGTGAGGGTAGCTTCGTGCATAATTAGAATGTTTTGTCCAAAATTTCTTGTTACAACTGACGAAAATTAACTCATGGAAAGTAATCATTAACATTAACCCTAAGTTCTTCGATGGGTCGGAAATGGTGGGGGTGCACGTCTATTCAATGAGCTTCCACTGCTTTTTGCAATACGCTTAATCATTTTGCAGGGATTTCATTGGAAGTACCTACTCAAGAATCGATTGCTGTAGATTTTGCTACGGCAATGGAGATGCTGACGTAGGCCGGTTTTTAAAATATTTGCCCACTTACTGTGGCAGCACCGCAGCAACTGACAATATAAACCACTGAATATTTACAGTTTTTACCTCTTCCGTGACCGAGGATGATAAGTCTATAGACTTCGTTCGTGACTAATAACGCATAGATGCGTTATTAGTCACGAACGCGCGTGGGGTTAATTGCTTCTCTCGACGTTGTTTATTTGAACTTTAAGTAACCATAGTGAAGCAAACTAAGAAAAACAAGGATATTTCTTTTCATCGGTAGGTTATTACTTAGGGTATCAAAGGGTGTAGGGAGAGGCGCACGGCCGGGAAACAAAGCACGTGCCCCGTGAATCGCGCTTCGGGTTTTCCCCGAATTAGAGCTATATAGTGCTGCGTAACGTTGTACTCAAATATTTTTTTTAATAACATCATGATTTCTTTCGTAATAACTAGAAGTTAAGATCCTTTTTATTCCTCACCCATATGGATCAATGTCTAAAATAAAACTTTTGATTAGCTTTTTTATATTAAAAACAATGTAGGTAGGTAGCTTAAATTTGAAGTAATTATACACATATTTAAAAGCGATTAGAAAATTAACTAGCTTCAGCAGTTATTTATGTCGGTAGCCACGTAATTACATGTGGATGGAAGTCATTCTAAAATATATTGATATTAGAATGAAATATTTATTTATGTATTTATGTAAGTAAAACTGCGATCAAGCAAACAAAACGACAATTGTGTAACAAGTTAACCCTTTTTAAGGGGTAGTAAATTAATTAGATTTTTGTTTGATTAATAAACATCGTTTTATAAATTCGTACCTGTGAAACGGACATTTTTTTATTCAATATAGATTATATATCACTTATTAAAAGTCACTCTTTTAATTTACCACTGGTTCGGAATAAAATACTCTGTCCTGGGAATGGGAAGAACCATCAAGAAAACCAACAGAACTTTTTATGAAAAAAAGCAGCTTAAAATATATTCCAATCATAGTTACACAATTAACAACACAAAACAAATTAGAAATAGCTTGGTAGCAATCGCCTCATTCCCAGGAGTTATTATCATCCATAAATTCCTCAATATTATAATAACCCCATATTATACAAAATTTGTTTAGTTTTTAAACTTTGAGAAGGTCAAATTTTGTATATTTTTTTAGATATTATTGTAAAAGCGTTATGTATAAATAGTGCAAATAATTGATTACAAACTCGTACAAGTAGAGTAACTGATAGTAGTAGTTTTGTGTTTTATTGATCTGCTAATACTTACCTTATAATTACCCACCTATTTATTATTTACTAAATACTTACCAAATTTAAACAAATAACATAATATGTACAATAACGCATAGACGTCAATCTTGGCGCATCACTATTCAACTGCTTCATTTATGTATCTATGTATCGCTAAAGGGCAATGAGCACTAAGCGCGCTCTATAGCTTGCTTATTAGCCACAGACTAATATGATTGTTATTAGCTATGTCTACACCAGTGCGCTTACCTGTTCATCTTGCGTATTCCTCTAACGCATGCCTGAGCAACCATAGCGCATACGTTAAAACTAGTTCGACAACAGCGCATGCCTCTAGCGAACGCTGGACCGTCACCGGTGGGTTCGCATGCAACATTTCGTGCATTTTGTAAAGAAAATGGCGGAAGACAAAGTTAAAACATTAGATATTGATGTGATAATGGTGGCGATAAAGTTATCACATTAAATGAAAATACTTATCCTATATAACGTTCTTTGAACATACACTACTAATTAAATATATAACAATTAACATTCTAGTCGCGGTAGCCCTTTTTGTTGTGTTTTTGCCTAATTACCTATGAATGGGAAAATGTAGGTAAATAATTAACTATGTCGATGCCGCGTAAGCACTGCGCACATGCCGCACCGTTGCCGCTTTCACAGGTCCCTTCAGGTCAGGAAAGTAATATTATCAAGGTGATTTATTTTGTGTCACTTTTTACACTTTTTATTGTGATTGAAAGATGCATTTTTATTTTTGGTAGAATTGTTTATTTTATTATTTTAACAGACAAAGATGGACTTGTATTTACCCCTGTGTTATTTAATGTGATAACCTAATCACCACCCAGTATATAAAAAAACCCCACAGTCATATAATAGTGCATGGTGGTGGGTATAAACACTACATGTACTGATTACGTTAGCATTAAAAACGATAATTAATAAAAATATAAACAGACTCCAGTCCACAATCACGTCAAGTTCAAACTTATTGGTCCCTTAAAAAAAGTAAAGACAAACTGTAAAAGTATACTGCCGAAAAATTCAATCATAAAAGATTCATCAATAAGTAATTATAACTTTTAACAAAAATTAAAAATTTTTCATTTTTATTATAATATTTAGTTATTTATTTGCTACCCTTACGGGTGGTATTTATTCTCCAAATTTATATGGGACCACTCTTAACCTATTTAATAAACAAAGAATCATCAAAATTAGTACACAATCTGCAAAAATATCACGTAACATACATACAAAAAAAAAACGTACACTCGAATTGAGAACCTGCTCCTTTTTGAAGCCTGTTAAAAATAGAGATGATTATTTTTGATATCAGTTAATAAAACTTCCTTAGGCGAATTTGTGTTTAAAAATAAAAAAGTATGTTGATTAATAATATTTATTTTATAGAGACGCCTTTCTGAGTCAATGTATTATCCTCATAAGTTTCAAGCACATCAGCCAAATGCTCATTATCTCTAGGCTTTTTAAATTGTCTTCTTTTTTGCGTGGTTTTCTTTCTTTTTGGTACAATTGGTTTTCTAGGGCCGTGGTCCTGCATTGATTTGATACCTTGTTTTTCTAAGTACTCTTCGATTTTGGCGTCATCCATTGCGTCTACGGCTGTAGCTCGCCATAACTTAACAAATTCTTCATCCACCTAAATTAAAATATTAATAAAATTTTAGTTTACAAATACAATACTAAATTTCAATTACACGAGCAATCCAGTTCAATCCATATGGTTTATTTATTTATGATCGACTTAGGATATAGACAACGCAAGCGTGTTTCACGTGTCCGGCAGTGTATATTACAGAATTACTGGTGGTTATTACGTTTCGATCCTGAACGTTATCATAACTGTAGACGTTAGTCTAGATAAATACTCTTAGTTCTTCCACAACAACACAGGTGGGAGTAGCGAGTAAACGGAGACATTTTCTTACATCATTAATTCTTTTTTTTTAATTAGAATACGCATAATTTATTTTTTAGAAAAAACAATTATGCACAAACGAGTATTTAACGCATGATTCTCGTGCAAACAAGTGCTTACCATATGAATTGAAAGAATGATTGGTATACTGGCTTTTATAATTTTTCGTTAAATTTTATTTTCTTTATTTAGTATGGCATTGGCTACAAGCTCTTCAGTGAAAAGGAATACATAAAACGCTTTATGTAACACATTTCACAAACTTAAAATTATGTTGCAAAATGAAAGTTAAACAAATGCCTTCACAATACATGTTCGTGCGTCACATAACGATGTTCTTGAGAGATTTTGTCAGTATCTTAAACCAGTCGACAACGATATTAGCCCAAGCTTTCAAGACGCCTAAGTAGACAAAATCTTGAGGTTTATATCACCATCACATTAACACTTGTCTCATCGTTTTCACTAATAATTTACATGCTTAGACATTACACAAAACCAGACTACATTTACGTATCAAAATCCACTTCAAACCATTATTTAAACGATAATACAGGAGCAGCAATACCCCGACGGCAAAGTTCCCGCCATAGCTAAATTTGACTAGTGACTAATAATGTTCACTTTAAGCAACAGAGATGTTTTTGATTCTAATCGATATTGAAAACGTTGTAAAAACAACCTTAATGAATTACTTTTGGGTACTTTTTCTTTTTTCTTTCCTTTCTAAAAACGTTACCCCCACACTAGGATTTTCTCCTGTATCGTGGAGGCAGTTTACAAACACAAATTTCACAAGGACAAACATCCAGACCCGGAACAATCATTTGTAGGCCATACAAATACTTGTTCCGTGCGGGATTCGAACCCGCGCCCCCCAGCGCAGCAACTCATTGCTAAGCCACTGCGCCACGGAGCCGTCACACTTTCTTTTAAAGAAGAAATTATCACTTACGTCTAAAGTGGCAGTCTTGTCATTATAGAATAATATTTTTTTCTTATCTGTAGGCCTCGTTATGTACAGTATTTCTTGGGCTAAGTGTTTGAGAGCTCTTTCACAATGCGGTAAAGACTCCTGTACATCTTCCAACAAAATTCCACCTAGTCCTTTCAAGTCATGTTGCTTTAATAACCTGTAGAGAAATATTGTTAAATTTAATTGCATTGCCTATATTACATTAAAGCATAAAAAGGATAAGAGCCAAGAGCGTTTTTTTGAGCAACGATATATACTTGCCCATGCATGTGAGCCTTTTGAACGGCTTGGCAGGTTTGAATTACGTACGGAACAAATTTTTGTATGGCCTAATAATTGTTTTCGGGCTGGGTGTTTATCCATGTGCAAATTGTATATGTAAATGCTTTCACAATACAAAATAAAATTCTAATTTGTTATAGATAATAAGGGTGACAAACGGGCATACAGTGCACCTGATGGTATAAGTGGATGATGTGGTCCATGGACATCACATCTGTCTTTAACTAATAATCAAAATACAGGTGCGTTATCACTTCTGGACAAACATTTCATGCCTCATTACCAGTAAAATGGGTCTAAGTTCTCTACACGTATTATACAAAATATAGCAGCATTAAGCTGCTACTTTACGGTGGTATTCTGTGAGAGTGCGTCCTTCCCCGGTCGAGCCGACTTATTTGTGCTACATCCATAATATAGCTGCGGTGTGGCTCTACCACTTTTTCAATTGTCTCGGATTTTTTTCAATTGTCTCGGATATTATTTTAAAGAAAAAAAAAATAGAAAGTAAAAGGAATATTTACAGCAGAGTGTACCCTACAAGACCTCGGTGCGTGTTGGGAGACTTTCAAAAAAGTTTTTGCAATATTTATATGCGTAGACACTTTGGCAGGCTTTCATCTCAGGGGTAACGTTTAGAACCGGAGCGGCATCAGATGCAGTTGAACTCTGAGTCTCTGGGAGATGACTACATATATTTGTGCCATTTTTTTATAGAATAAATGTGACAAACCAGCACACAGCCCACCTGATGGTAAGTGGTTGCTGTGGCCCATAGACATCTACATCTATCAGCTGTAGATACATTATACATTTGCTATAGGTCTGTGGGGTCCACGTGCGGTGAAGGTCCTAAAGAAACTATATCCATACCTCGTGATAAGAAGAATGGTTCTTTTCTCGCTCAAACGCTAAGTATAGCCATTCAGCAAGGAAACGCAGCCTGCGTTCTTGGTACTATACTACAGGGAGTAGGAACACATGATAATTTCAGTTTTTTGTTTTAGTTTCTTTTATAATGTTTGTTTAACATTATAAAAGAAACTAAAATATTGTATAAATAAATTTTAAATAATATTTATTATTTCTCAGACATTTGAGTTTGCTCATGATGTTTTCAGTCAACACCAAACATGTTAAACTGGGTTCATAGTTGATGGGTCAACAGTCCCCCGAAATCCATTATTCAACATTTAATTAGAGGTTGAATGTTGAATCAAACATTATTGTCTTTCATAAACAACTACTCCCTTTCCTGAATATAATTTCATGTGTCCTTATTTATTATTTAACTAGCAAGTCCACGCGACTTCGCCCGCGTGTAATTTAAAGTTTTAATTTTTTTTGCGCGGATCCTAATTATTTCTCTATAATAAAAGTAGCCTAAATTACCTCTTATAACATCAGCTATCTGCCAGTGAAAGTCCCGTCAAAATCGATCTAGTAATTTCGGAGATTAGCCGGAGCAAACAGACAGACAAAAAAATCTTAAAAATTGTATTTTTGTTAAAGTACCGTATTGCATTTAAAAAATATGTTATTTTAATATTTTTAACAGTTATTTAATATTTTTTATATTACAAACAGACCCCAATTTTATTTATTTGTACAGATTATGTTTTCCATGAAAATTCTTCATGAGTGTCATATATTGATAGTTAATAAAAATTAAAAACAAATAAAAGTAGGGTTAAAATTCTAATTCTAATGATTTCGCGGGTTATTTTCACAAAATCACTTTTTATTTTCTTGTTTTGTATTACTGATAGATAATACAAACTACATACCTATGTAGTGTGTTACAACTTTGTAAACATTAAGTCTATAGGTGCAAATCATTTTTCGGCAGGAAAAATTTAATTTATTGCAAAATAAAAAAGCAGATGAGCAAGTATACAAACTAGCAATTTTACAGCTAAATTAACTTTTTTTGTTAATTTTGTTTTCTACAATTATTCCAATTTATATGTTTCATGATATGAAGTTTAAGCAAGAAGATTGTTTGGTTGACGAAATTTGGGCAGTCAGCAATCAACCACTGACATCTATCAAATAGAGGGTTTCTTTACTCTATTTAATGCATAAAGGCTTAATTCGTCTGTTGGTGCGAATGAAAAAGTGCTACTGTTGAGAATTGATCAATTGACAGCTGACCTGACATAACTCAACCTTGATCCTATCCTACTTCACACTTTACTTTTGTTTTATATAGAGTCAAAGTTGGCAATAATGTATTTTCATATTTTGTGTAATTAAGTTGGCAAGCGACAAGCCTACCTTTTGATAACTTCATGTAACAGTGACAAAGCGAAATTGGATGGCGAACGGCAAACGTGCTCGAAATTGCAATCCTGAAAGTGTAAAGTACTGGACAACAATCCGTCGATTGTTTGTCAAGAGTTTTGTTCAACAAAACAAGTATTTTCAAAAAGTTCAAAAGGTATGTTTATTTTGTATCAATTTAAGCTGTAATTTTGCACTCAAAAACTTGTCGCTACATGGTAAACTTTGTTTATAAATTTCTTTCACAGAACATGTAATAATTGTAAGCAAACAATCAAATTGCTTTTGTATAAAGTCTTGAATATTTCTCTTTATTAAAATTGTGAAAGTTAGATACTGATTCAAGTGTATATTGACAGGTACCTTTTGAAACTCTGTTCAATAAACGGACATTTGTCAACTTTGGACTTCATCATTTGTCAACAAAAGAACCCAAACCAATTGAATTCACAACAGGTTATGAGCCCAGGATAGCTGTGAAAGGGTTTCTTTTTGGAAGTCATGTCAGGAAAGCGACGGAAAGTCGAGAAAAGCAGTCCAGAGTGTCAGAACCGGCGCGGCCGACATAACCGCAAGGCAACGTTAAGCAACGTATACGCAAGTCGTTTTAAGTCATAAAATCGCCACGAAAGTTTATAAATTCATTTTGTTTATTTAAAAATTGTCAAAGTCCTATAATTTGTAAAATTTAAAGCAAAATGGATACTGTAAAGTCTCAATTGGAAATGTTAAGTGAAGATAGTCAGGTAAATGTCAATTTCATTTCATGGCGATTTAAATTAAACCTAGCACATAAGGATAAAGACTTGTACGAAATTGTGACAGGTGCAAAGCCCAGACCAGTTGGTGGTGCGTCAGAAGCAAACGTTTCAGCTTGGATAAAGAAAGATGTCGAAGCTCAAACGTTGATAGGTTTAAATGTAAATAGTAAGATTGCGAACAAAATTGCAAATTGTAGAACTGCCAAAGATATGATCGATAAATTAACTAGTTTATATGGTACAAAGACTGATGTAACTTTAGAAACTTCCCGAATCAAATTCTTTACCTTTGCGTATGATGAAACAAGTCAGCAGTAGAGAATTGTATGGAGATTTTGGACTTGGCTGAAGAAGTGTCAACTGAGAATGATCCAATGAAGGAAAGTTGGATCATGACGAGAATATTGAGTGTGCTACCGCCAAAATTGGCGCATTTCAGAACATCCTGGAACAACGTGACCGGACCAACAAAGAACATTGAAACTCTCATCGAACGAGGAACGAGGACGAGCAACTCAAAGAAACGACGATAAATGCAGAGGGCAACACCAACTACGATCTCATGGCAAGACGTGAGAAACAGGGACAGTCGTCAAACAGCAAGCAGGACAAGTCAGCGCTAGCATGTTATAAATGTGGGAAGAAAGGTCACGTGATCAAGGAGTGCAGAAGAAAACCGTGTCAGAAATACATTGAGTATTGCAAGAAGAAATACTCATGTAACATTTGCAAGAAGAAAGGATACTTTGCAAAGGATTGTGAATCCCGAGAAGAAGCAAATAAGTCAGGAAATGGGAAACAAAAAAGGGTGGCTTTTTTGACCACGGCACTCTCGAAAGTGGTCAAAGACATCTCCAAGGACAGGGCAACCTCATGGTATCAAGACAGTGGAGCCAGCCAACACATGACGTATCATCGAGAATGGTTTGTGCAGCTTGAGGAGCTGGACGAGCCAATTCCAACTGTGATTGGAGACTCAACCAGGCTAGATGGCGTTGCAGTCGGGAACATCGAGATGGAGTCCTTTGATGGTGAAAAATGGTATCCAGTGGTACTTGAGGGTGTGATTTACGTACCAAATCTCAACTTTAATCTTTTCTCAGTAAGTCAGATGTTGGACAGGGGACATGTACAGAAGGCAAACGGAAAAGAGTCGACATTTTATAGTCTAGATGGCAGGGAAATTGTGGCAATTGCAAGACGCAAAGGAAGTCTTTACAAGATGATGCTCAGGAGAGAAGAAGGGACATGTTTGATGGTCCAGTCGATCAAAGTTTGGCATGAACGACTCGCCCATCAAAATGTGAAGTATGTGAGACATAGACATATTGAAAAGAAAAGGAATAAAATATGTTGATGACTGGAATGATTATGTGTGCACGGGTCAAGCAAAATCGATCCTCACACCCAAACAATCCCAAGACAGCTCAGCAGCCATTAGATCTTGTTCATGTCGACACTGGAGAGATGAACATCCCATCAATGGGAGGAGCCAAGAATTGGCTCATGTTTAAGGACGACTTCACCCACTACCGAAGTTGTTACTTCATGAAGACGAAAAGTGAGGCCCCTGAGAAGATTGCAAGCTACCTGAGACTGGTAGAAAATCAACTAGGGAGGAAAGTGAAGAGTCTAAGATCTGATAATGGCATCGAACTGAAGAACACAAAAACCAAAGAGATGATGGACAAGTTGGGAATTTTTCACACATTTACGAATGTACACACGCCAGAGCAAAACGGAAGGATTGAGAGAGAAATGAGAACGATTGTCGAGGTAGCCAGAGCAGCAATACATGCAGACGAATTGGACGAGAGACTGTGTGCAGAAG